GATTTTGTTATACATGTAATGTAGGGTCTCATTTCGAGGACAATGGCTGTGATTTGGGCTATCTTGTTTAGAACAGACTTGGCATTTACTAATATAATACTCAGTCTGTTTACAGCAACATAATTATTGTCGACAGTATTAAAAAAATTGGAAGTGGAAATGTAAACTGTGAAGTAATGTTATTTGGGGAATAAGTACCAACGAGTCCAGAATAATTGAGTCACTAAGAAAAGGTTGAACGGGAGACGTAAAAGATAGAAGGATATAGTTGTCAGCTGCTGCAATACTAAGCAAAGTAGAACATGGGTAGGCTTGTTGGCAGTTAATTTGGGGATGAGGAGGAGGAGGAGGAGGAGGAGGAGGGAGCCCAAAAGGAAGGTAGACTAGTGGGGAGGGTAGGCAGACATAAGAACTAAAAGATGAGAAACCAGGTCTGAATGGAAGTCAAAATAATTAGGCCGACTTATGTGAAAATATTGTCCTTAAGTGGTAAGAAGCCTGAATTATATCGTGGTAGATGAGGTAAGACTATGCACATGAGGGCTATTTAAAGGATAAATATTAGGGCTTTGGTAAATAGCCGGTATGCGGGATGGAGAATAATTTGGGGATATAATTGGGGATACAGTGTTTATAGACGAGTTGGGTTGTAAAGTCTCAGCAAATCTATGAGAAGGCGACATATCAGTGAATGAGATTATGCTGCATTTCTTTTGGGTCAGTGCTGGACTCGTTTTTTTGGATCACGCCGTCCTGACAGCATGCCTCAGATGACTTAAATGGGGAACTCGGAGGACCCTATTGAAGTGGGAAAGGTATAGGGATAGCTGACGTAGACGGATTCTCGTGCGTCCAAGGAGGGCTTTCGGGCGGATAAGGGACGAAAACTTGGGGCGTTGCTAATCTGGAGTCAGACAATTACGTTAAAGGGCTTGCGTCAGAAGGATATGTAGGAGTAAGGGGAAGCAGTCAGTCAGATTTCGCGGGAGTATGGTCAATGGAATTCTTAAGTTGCTTGTGATATGACCGAGTTGGTGTGCATTTGACTGATAAGACGAGGGTTTATATGAGAATAGGTATCCAATTACACGTTCCATAGAAGAAAGTTCGTGCCAAAGAAAAAAATTACGCATTTTCCAAGTACGCAGGGACACGATCTCGGTGGGCAATGGATGAATCAGCCTCGATCGGTGAAAACAGCTAAACTACAACGGGCGGATTTTTGCTACAGGGAGACAGGTGTTTGGCATCCTCTATTTCATATTTAAATCCACATGAGTGCAGAAAATTAACCGCAACATTAACTACCCGTGCAGATCAAGGAAAATTTTTCAACATGAAGTTATATATTCTTCTCTGTGTACCACTTTATTCACCAGCAACCATGCGAATGAGTGAGTCAAGACGTTCCCATTCTTAAGAGGGTACACTGGAGGCATTCCCGTTAAACAGTTTTCTCAGAATTGAGAGCATAGCGTCAGAATTCAGTATAGAATCGTTGCTATTTTAAAACGCAGACAGAAAAGGCTGTCTATCAATAACAACGGGTGACGACATGGATTTAAGTGAGTCATGCTTAGGTACAGAGACCAACAGCTTTCGCTGACCTGTTACTTTTGCTATCATCTTATTTCAAAGTAAGTTGTGATTAGTTAAAACTTTTGACAGGTCTGATGGCTGAATTTCAGCGAGAGGTTAAGGGTGTAAAGAAATGGTGCACGGGTAGAAACATTTCGAATGCACAAAATGCAAATTGCAGAATGTGACTATTAGTCAACACTTGGTGGTGAGTGAATTGTCTGCTGTGGATTAGTTGTGGTGGCATCTCGATGCCATGTATGCACATATGACCAAGTAGATCCCTGTAGTGTTCGTATGCCGTGGGCAGTGTAGATAGTTGAGACGTTTAGTATGGCGTATTCCGGAGTTCCAGGTACGCTTTTGGCGGCGTTGGTGCAACAGATTCGTAAGTAGCCTACTAGGTGAATGTGTGATTGCATCGGACAGGCTGGAAGTGACTCCACACTACTGGTGGATAGAATGATTGGTAGCGATGGTTAAAAGAATAGCAGGTGTATTCCCACTGGTACTCGCAGCGATGTTTTGTAAAGTGAGGGGCGAGTAGGTCTTGCTGGCATTACATCAGGTCTGTAGATGTCTATTGCGGTCATCCTGTGCCTCTCATGCTCACTAAAGACGCGACCACGATAGTTAGGGTTAGATGTTTGGTCTGTCGTCCACCCGTAAGCTATAAGTATACGAAGGGAGTATGGCAATGCTACGGCAGCAGCACAGGAGCCAAACCACGTTACCGAAAGCGAGGTCGAAGAAGTGACACCCCAACCTGACAGACGTAGGCGATCTGCGGAACCTAATTTGAGCACTCCTACTGACAACAAGCAAGTACGTCAACAATCTCGACGCATAATGTCGAGCCACGAACTGCAATCTTACCGATGTTGTTTGGATTGCTTGTCGGCGGCACTTTGACCTTGAGAGCCTCTATTTCTGCATTGGTATGGGCCATTTGGTTGACTTAACAGATGCTTGCCCCAGCCTTTACGGCAGTGTACCAGGTCGTCGATCTTGAGATAGGCGCTTCAGATATCAGAGTTGATTTACAACTGCTTGGCAGGGGGTTTCATGGCGTTCTTATAAAGTCATTTCTCTCTGCCTTGTCTGGAAGCATCCGTAACGACGACGCCATAGAATAAAAGCCCGGGCAGGCGCCTGCCGTCCACCCTTACGATAAGGCTGCTTAATCGCAAATGTGTCTGTTTCATCAAGAAGTGAGTATTGAAGAGGTCAGTTCTTCAAGAATCTCGGTGTCTGGGATATTTTCCCGCCGCTTCCAACGCAGTATTCTCTGGAGGCAGCTTAAATTAAAATGGCCTGATTATTTGCCCGACTTTCATGGACTGCCCATATTTCCCTTCAGGTAGGACCACTGTCGGAACAACAGTCCTTTACATCGGTAGTTTCGTGTTGAAGAGGATGCCGCGCCGGTTCCTCATCATTACTGTAGTGACTAAAGATCCGGCCAGTTTTAAATTTCCGACTTGAGATTTCGTTGTCGATCTTGGTGTTTTCTGAGGCCGTATTTCCAAAATAGATGAATTTGTCCACTGCTATAATAGGGTTTTCTGTAGCCCTTATTTAGCGACTGCTGGTTCATGACCATCATCTTTTCCATACTGCTGATTAATCCGAAGTCGTAGTAGCCGGAGGTAAAAGGGCCTACACTCCGTTGCATTCCCGTGTCCGTTATGGTGTTTAGCACGCATTCATAGGTGGACTATAAGTCGTAAACGTTAGCCGTGTGTACCGTCGCAGGCCTTTTCAGAAGATGGATGTTGTGGACTGCTGAATTTGTAGATTTCGGCTGGAATTACGCAGACTATAGGTACTGTTCCGATGGACAGTTTTAACACTGTTCTGACTGCCTCTTGAAGAATGGGTGGACGACCGAGCTTGACATCGATATTCGCTCGAGGAAGTCGGCTGACAGCTCCTTCACAGAGTCTGGACGAGTGGTACAGAAGGTCCAGTTCTCCGAGATCTCTGGCTTCTCTGCCAGTAGTGTTGCTTCATCTCGGATAGACCGCGGGGCAGTCCTTTTGACCTAGGGGCAATCGACGTCGCAATCGTTGTCGCTCCTACGTAACGCACCACGAACTGGACTGGGTTGTTTGAATGAAGAGAAGACTTTTGGCGCGAATCCAGGATGGTGGTAGTGTAACCAAATGCCGACGAAAATGGCTGATGTCCTGTCCCCACATATCCCCTTCACGCAGCTCCCGTCGTGACGTTTACCCAGCTCACGCTCTATGTTGACATCTTTCACGGCTCTCCACTGCATTTGCCCCCCCCTCCCCCCCGGTCGCTGAATTTATCACCGATTGTTCAGAAGACATGCTGGCGCCACACTGCTATTCAGACGGACCATCCCCCTTAGTGTAACTCTCATCCTTGTACCGTTTATCGTTTTCCGAGGTATTAGACTCCTGTTCTCAGAATCTATTTTGTACTCGTTTGAATCTCATTTCATTTTGCTTGGACGGTAATGACGACGTGTCCAGCAGCCTTTTTCAGCTCGTTCTAAGCCAACAGTTATCTCCAGCGCTTCATTATACCCAAATAAGGAAATATGACGAAAGGAAAGTTCTCCAGACATACACAAAATGATTTTTTTACGACTGCGTTCGGAAATCCTTCCTAAGCTTATTAGTTCGATCGTCGTGACCGATCATGTCCAATTCGTGCTGCCCAGCAGACTGAGAACAGGGACGGTGACTTGCGTGTGCATTCTTAATGATAGTTGACTTGCGCTGCATCTGCCGCACTCTCTCCTCCCCACGCGATCACGGCACTAAGTCATGGTCAAGAAGACCTGAGGTTGGAGAGGACGCAGGCGACTGGCGCAGCCATAGCCGTTCCTAGGCGCACCGCCGCAGCAGGCTCGGATTCCACTAAGTCGGAGGGTGGCAGTCCGCGTCTCCTAGCTCTCCATCGTTTTGTCACGCTGCTCTCCTGTCCGTCTCACATTCCCTGTCGAGTCGCTGCTGGGACGTGCGAAGCTTGCCATTAGCCTCGCGAGAAGGCTGCCTTTTTGGGTCGGTAAGGAAGTTAACGTAGGCGTTTTGCTACTGCCTGCTTTCGGCGAGCAGATTGCTGATGGCGGCGTCGCTGTCACCGAACCAGTCATGATTTTGGAGACGTGCACAACCGAGGACAGCCAGGGCGGTTGACCGGACCGTGTCCCCCAGTTGGCGTCATCGTTTCTTCACGAAGGTGTTCTCGTCAGCGTCGACAGCGACTGGGACGTTGGCTGGTCTTTGAGCTGAAATGGAGATGGCGAGCGGGCGAAGACAACAAAGCAATATTCAACTTATTTGGGGGTTGCCTACCCTGAGGTCTCCTGCGAGGCTGTATGCGAATCCGCATCTCGGAGCTGAGGACACGACGGTCGGTCCACAAGTCGGTCCCCGGAATCGCCTTTGTCAACAGCACGTCCCGCTGCTCTCGCCGTCGGACGAGGAGATAGTCCAGCCGGTGCCAATGTCGCGACTGAGGTGCATCCAGGTGACCTCTAGCCTCGGAAGGCGGAAGAAGGTGTTGGTCAGGATGGGCCGACGCTCTGCGCGGGTTTGTAGGAAGAGCAGGCCATTGTCATTGAAGCCGTCGAGACCCTGGGAACCCAGCACTCCTCTCCAGGCAGCATGACCTGTTCCGACGTGGGCGTTGAAGTCACCAAGGATAATCAACTTATCCGCCTTCGGCACAGTTGCTAGGAGGATGTGCAGGTCTTCGCAGAACTTGTTCTTTGTCGTGTCCAAGCTAGTCATCAGAGAGTATAGACGCTGACGATGGTGATGAATTCGTCTACTCGGAGAGGCAGGCGGAAACTCATCAAGCGATCGTTGGTGCCCTGCAGCAGACAGGACAGTCTTCCCATGATGTCATTCCGGATGGCAAAGGCGACGACTCTGTCCCGTCGTTCTGCCTTGGGGTGATCGCTCCAGAAGAAGGTGTAACCGACACTCGCCTCCTCTAGTTGGCCTTGGTCGGGTAATCGGGTTCCGCTGAGTGCGGCGATGCCCACCCTTATGTCTCTAACAGCAAAGTTAAGCGAATTCCTGTTTTTCTTTGGCAACCTTGTTAGAATATATATTCAAATTGTAGGCTATTGGCTAGCCGCCACACCTGATATCACACTTTTTCGTAAAGGAAAGTTAAGCGCACACTTCACTAAAGGACTAATTTCTAAAGTTATGTTAATATTGCTTTGATTTCCCCAGTTTTTGCATAAACAGGCCTTCTGTGCATCTAAAACTTAAGTTTACTCAATTACAACGATTTTCAACGTTTTCGGAATTTTGCGCTGTTCTAAAATGGTTGGCATTTATAAACAACGTTATATTTATTAGAATGCTTCCGCTACGTTTTCAATTCGCTTAAAGTCGTTTTATTACTTTTTCAATGCTTTTGTCCATTTGTTTGTACCAGTTTGCTAGTGATTAGCAGCCTGCCGTAAATTTCGACAACTTACATGAGATTGGCCACACACTAAATGCAGTTTTTCTGGTGTTGCGCCTGTTGGTGATTTCGGTCCTGTCTATCCTGTATTCCTCGGAGAGCAGAATTCGAAATTATTTGTTAGGATCATCGGATCAGCCCTGGCGCTGTCGGTGTGCGCAACCGAAGCATTTCATGGCGGTGGCCAAAATGACATCCCACAACCCACTCGACTCTGGCTCGACAAGGACACTCCCCTACAAGGCCTGCATTTAATCGTGGTGGGAAGTAAGGCAACTGTTAAAATTCAACTGGTGTTTCACAATATCCAGCCAAAAGGCACCTATCAGAGGTTGACTTACCGTGCAGTCTCATGCGAGGTTTCAGTTGGAGCCTCATTTTTGGACATAACAACGCCGTGGTCCGTACAGCAGCTGGCACCACACATCGCTTTGGTCACGCTGGCCACCTCTTTGGACAAGGACATTGTCCAGCATCTGGCAACGGTGGAAGATAGAGTGAGAGATAGCGAATCCACATCGTCGTCCCCCTCGAATCGGAAGGCCAAAAGGCGTTGGTGAGGAAAGACTGGGCTAGCCTCAACCTGTAGATGCAGGAGTTCACTGCTGATGCAGCTGCCGATCCCGTGGCAACTCAACACTCCTTCCAAGTAGCGCGATCTGTGCCTGCGCGAGCATTAGCGTCACAGTGGAAAATCAACATGTTCGCCCCCGGTACAACTGTCAGTAAAGCAGGTGGGTCTTCGTAAAATTAGGTCTTCGCGTCATTAAAG